TCTCTGTATGACCTTCTCAATTTTTCTAAAACTATTCTGAAATAAGTTTATTTGTTAAAAAAGGCAGCAGCTCGTCTTGTGACAAAAAGAGACCCCAAAACTCTAGTCACCATAAACTCAAGTTGCAAACATGAGTGAACTTCCCAGGGAGCTGGGCTGAGGGGTAAGTGGAAAGGGCTTGGTGGGAGCCCTATCAATAGCTGTGAGGTCACCCTGACCGGTGTGGCTCAGTTGGCTGGTGTCGTCCTGCAAGACAGAAGGTCATGGGTTCAGTTAGTTCACTGTCAGGGCATGGGCCTGGGTTGCAGGTTCGGTTCCCGGGTGGGGGCGTACAAGAGGCAAGTGACTGATGTTTCTCTCTATCGATGCTTCTCTCCCTCTTTTTCCCTCACTTCCCTTCTCTCTAAAAATAAATAAATAAAATCTTTAAAAATCTATTTTGTGGAAATAAAAGGTCTCGAGCTGAGCAGAGGAAGATACCCCAATCCTGCGGGCACAGGGCCGAGGAGTTTAAAGGCCATGCCTGTGGGTAACACAAGGGAGGGCCACTGTCCCCACTATCTATCCAAACACCTGCTGGTGCCACTTTCAGAAGCCCACCGTCTCCAGAATGGGCCTGTGCGGATGTGCAGAGCAGCCCCCGCAGACTCGAGTTACACTCACTTCCGCTGACCCCTGCTAAGTCCTGGCCCGGGGTCCCCGCTGCCCCTACACAGCTGCAGAAGCGCAGTGCCCAGACCCACATGCAGCAGAAGTTAGCCAACAGGACTGTGGATGGCCAAAGCCACGCCAGCCTTTTCCTGGGAACCCCTTCCCTGGAAACAGAGGTTTGGAGCGCTCCACCCTCTGGAATTTAGTGTGTGATCTGTCTGCACCTCCTCTATCGTCTACACCTTAACACTCGTCCTATTTACCTGTTTGCTCTCCTATCTGTGAGCAACCTTCCAGTGGGCAGACTGCAGAAATGCACCAGCTTTGGGATCGGATGGATATGTGAGTGTGAAGTGTGAATCCCAGGTCACCACACCCCCAAAGCAGGAGCTGAGGGAGTGTGTTAACGGAAATAGGCAGGCACCTGCTGCAAGAGCAGGAGTGAATGTCTGCCCTTGAACGGCCACAGTGGGGACTACCATGCCAGGCGCCACGGTAGGACCAGACACTCGGTCAACACCGGCCACGACCGGTGCTCTGCAGGGCTCACACACAGGACACTCAAGGGCACCTGGCGCGCAAGAGACAAAGCTCAGAAAGTGCAGCTTTTACTTGAATTATTGTTTCCATGTACAGCAGATGAGGACACCTACTCTGAAAACTCATCTCTTGTTATACCAGATTATGAATGCAGAAGACACCCTGAGAAATATTCTACTTCTCCTCTGCCGAGACTCTTCAAGGCACTCATACCTGGGCTTGGGGACATCCCAGTTTACAAATCCTGCCTGATGCAGTGTTTCTCAAACAGCCTCAACAAAAGTACTCCTGACTCAAGTTGAGGGCAGGGGAATGCAAACCCCCCAAAACCCGGCAAGTGAGTCCAAAGCTGCAACCGAAATACTGTCCTCAAGTTTCCTGGAAAATTTAGCTTAAATTCATGCAAACTTTGCATTCCAATTTATAAGAGACCGAGGACCGTTTTACTGTGAAAATGTTTAAAACCGAGGAAGACTGAACTGCTTAGAAGACACAAAGACCTCATCTGGTCTGTGGATCTGAGTGGCCACAGCGCACGACCCAGCAGGGTCTGGGAGCCCCAGTGGGAGGGACACAATCATGGCCTCAGCATTCTGACCCATAAAATGGGATCACAACCCACATCAATTCTGTTTAACATCTACGAGACAAGAAAATACGCGACACCATCCAGCAATGCCCTGGGCAACCCCGAGACACCTGGCACAAATGCTGGCTCAGATTCACTGGGATGAATTATGATACACCTTCAAAACCCCATGGGCCCACAAAATTGTTATTTTGTTGACTGTCTATTCTGTAGCCAGGAACTGCACTAGCTCCTTTCCCCCTTGTTGCTGATTCTACAAGATATTTTGTATCCCCATTATACTGGAGGAAACGAAGGCTCAGCAAGGTCAAGTAAAAGCCCAAGACCACGTGCAACCGGTGAATGGCGGAGTCCAGATGACAATCAGGTCTGGCTGCTCTGAAGCTCTCCTGCCTTCCACCACACCACACTGCCTTTGTTTACGGGGCAAGGGTTAGAAGAAAAACGTTCTGTCTAGAAAGTACTTGCTTGGTGGGGCTGAATTTAAACGTTATGACTTTGTTCTGTTTCCCTGTAAATGCTGGTGAAAAGAGCTCTCAGTGGACAGCCACCTTCTTCCCACGTGCAAGCAGCAGGTAGCACCAAAGCGGAATGAGGGGCCTAAGTAGAGGCCAGCTCTGCTGGTCCCCATGCCCTTAACCCTGCCCAGAGAGACCCCTGAGTCTACTCGCTTTTGCTTTTACTTTCAATTTCTAGCCATTATGACTTCTAGGTTCCCAAGAAATTAATAGCATGCAGCTGTCAGCAAACTCTTGGTCCCTGAAGATTACTGACTTGGGACTCGTAACTGCCATGGCCTCCGCAGGCAGAGGAAAAGGTGGTGGAGAAAGAGGCTAGGAGGGTGGGGTAGGTGTGGGGAAGAAAGATGGCAGAGGACGGGCGTTAGGAACGCCAGGGGGTCTGTACTTGAGCTGCTGCCTGCTCACCTTGCATGTCCATTCCTTTAATAAACAGACCAAGGGAGGGCCCACAATTAGGGGAGACGAGGCCACATTTAATCCCAAATCCCAGCCCTACCACTTTCTAACTGTATGCTCTAAGGCAAGCCACGTAAATTTCTTCAGCATCATCTCTAAAGTGGAGGCACCAACCCCACATGCTCCCTGGACCCTCGTGAGGAACATGTGTGAAAAGAACTTTGCAACTTGAAAATGATTGCTAAAAATTAATGGTTACCACTACTCTACAGCATAAAGACAGAAAAAGGACCACCAGTCCTGAGAGGAAAGGGAGGAGAGGAAGGATATCAGAAAGGGGCTTCTATACCCCACAGAGCCCTTTCTCTTTCTGCCAAGCACTGTCAGATCTCTTAAGAGTTCTGGATTCCAGGAGTGGCTGCCTAAACATACAGAATGCTGGTGCTTTCCTTGTCTCTCTGGAAGGGAGAGAGTCTCCTTCAAAAGCCTATTTCAGAAGCAGAACTGGAAGAGCGCATCCATGCAAAGAAGGTCCCCTCGAAAGGCTAGCAAGCCTCGTCCTGTGACTTCCGAAGCATTCCAGAATCCATCGCCTACCACTGAGGAGGTAAGTTCGGTCAGCAGTCAGGCCTCTCTGGCTCTGCCCCTCAGAAGCACAGGGGAACCAGCTGAGAGAAAGGAGGTTGCCCGTTCAAGTCTCCAGTGACCCTCGGAAGAGGCCCACACACAGAAAGACTGTGATCTGCCTGTTGATTCTAAGAAAGGTGTTTTCATTTGTGCAATGAAAAATGAAATAAGTGCATCCCAGGTCTAGCTCAGAAGTTGGAGGAGCCAGACACCCTGACAGTCCAGAAGTAATCACAAAGATCTCAAGGCAAAAAGACTGGCACTTATCAGGGCATCCAAGGGCAGTGAAGCCTGCCCAGAACACTGAAGAGCTACAGAAACTCCCAAAGATGGCAGGGCCTTCCCGCCCTGCCTCTGCTGTAGATAGCTGGGGTCAGCCAAAGCCTCGGAGAGTCAGGCTGCTCTCATTAAGGTACAGTCTCTGTCCTGTACTTTGGCCACATAACAAAGAACCTCCCAGCTTGATCTGAGAGAGCAGCCATTTCACACAACCAAGTCCCAAGCAATGGACAAGGATCAGATGTCAGCACGGGCTGTCTCTGGGAAAGGCTGGGGGAAATCGGTGCTTTCTGGCACGTATGAGAAGTCTTTGGGCTACAAAAATGAGCACATTAAGAACCCAGAGGGCCCGGAGGTGCCACTGTGACCTCAAAGTGTTCTGTAATCTACAATTTGTTCAAGCCCGGAAGGGATGGGAGATAGACACTGGAACTAGAAGTGGTGTCCACCTGTTGATAAGGGAGGGGTGTGTGTTGTGTGTGCAAGTGCATGCGAGTGTTTGGGAGTGTGAAAGAGATAGCCCAGGACCCTTCGATTCCAAGCTCCTCGTTTGGGGTCCTTTTTCTCCACCCTAAAGACCAGCAGACAGCAGTCTCAGGAGGAGCCGTGGAAACCACTCCCCTGCTCTGGGAGGGCATCCCTGAGCCTGGAGCAAGAGGGGAGGAGGAGGGGAGAGAGAAGATAATGAATGGACAGATCCACCCTGGTCTGTAGCTGGAATTGAGCAAACCTCAGCTAAAATTTTTAGAGGCAGGAAGGGAGACACACAACTAGAGAACAACGCAACTAGAGTGCAGGGCTGGGGGGCGGAGAGGGCAAGACAAGGAGAAGACAGCTCCTTCCTACTTAAACTCTGCTGAGATGCCGGCTGGCTCCCTGGCTTGAGGAAAGAGAGGAAGTAAAGGAGTTGTGGGAGCGTGTGCGTGTGGAATGGTCTCACCCAGGACCCCCACCCCCTCCTTCCAGGAAATCGACATTAAATCCCTCTACAGTTGGAGGGACAAATGTTTTTGTGGAACACGGGCAGGAAAACCGCGACAGAGAGCACTCCTCACCATCTCTAAAAGAGAAGGTGGACAGGCTCCTTCCTTCACACCTGGCAAAGATCCCTCCAAATCTGGGAGCAGAGGGAGCGGCACTTAGGGTCTCTCCCTCCCACAGCCGGGCTGGACAGGCCATAGCGGGGCCACGAGAGTCTCCCAAGGCTCAGGAAAGGCAGGGAAGGGAAGGAGAGAAGGGCTCCCCTTCTGGCCCGACGCCTAGGGAACTCCTTAAGAGGGGGCTACGGGTCGGAGGAGGGGTCAGTCTCCCTCTAAGCCGGGATGGGCGGGAGGAAAGACTACTCCGAAGACACCTCAACGCGAGCGAGACACTGGGTCCCGGGACAGGGCACTCACGGCGGCTCCGGGGCGGCGGCGTTACTTAGGTTCGGGGCTCGACAGGCTCCGCTCCTCTCCCCCCCGGCGGTGTCTCCGGCCTCCACTTCCGCCTTTCAGCCGCTCCGGATCCGGATCTCCACGTTCTACCCGCCCCTCAATCCTCCAGGTGACTGACAGGACGAAGAGACCAATGAGAAGCATCCTTGAACCCTCTTGGCCGACTCGCAGGCGTGGCCCACGGAGGGCGCGGGAGAGGCGGGAGAGCGCGCGCGGAGGACGGCTGATCTTGTAGTTCGAAGGGCTGGGAGGAGTCGGAGGCCGCCTGGAACTCGAGCGTAGGGTGGATCCCGCTCCCGGCGAGGCGGAGCCTGGCCGTGAACTTTTTAAAGGCCCGGCTTGCCAACCCCGTCCCCGCGGGTTCCGGGAGCCCGGAGGAGAAGCAGGTGGCGGAGCGTTGGAAGAGGGGGGAAAACGGTGTGTGCAGAATTGGGAAAGGAAAACCGCGATGCGAATGAATAGGCACATGAGGCCGCGGAGAGCAGCCCTGAGCTGTCGCTAACACGGAGAACCCCTGGCGGCCCTTTCGGGTCAAGTCAGCCCTGGGAGCCCGATTGTTGGGGACGTTCGGTGATGGGGAAGGTGATGGAAGCGCGCTGATGGAAGCTCTGGAGGCTACCGGGTGAGATCAAAGAGAGAGCCCTTGCCACTGCTCAGCGGTCAACCAGGGTCCTCCTCCTTTGGCTGGACTCCAAAATACATCAGAACTTCCCCTGCCGCTGCCTCTGCCTGCCCCACGCCCAGCCAGGACTAGCTGTCGTCTTTGATGCCAACTACAGAGTCTCCCCACCCATAAATGCAGAGTAGAACCACTTCTGCTTGCTCCCACCTTGCCCTTCATAAGGATCAGGGCCGTTTCTATTTTTTTCTGCTCCCCTCCGTATGGATTAGGACCACTTAATGCGTCTGCCCACCCCCTACACTCCAACACAGACCATACTTCTGCTTCTGCATCTCACCCCCAGGGACACTACTCAACACCTGTACGACGGAATCAAACCTCGCCCCAGAGACAGCTGTGGGCACTGCTTCTATGACACCAGCCAACACCAGTCATACTCTGAACTGAAGAATTGCACTCTCTGGGAAGACCTGCCACAAAACTGCCCACACTTATTTCCTTCTGGTTTCCAGGGGGCCTCTTTCTAACAGCAGTCATAACATTCATCCCATCCATCCCTGCAATGATCAGAGGAGGGAAAGCAGGGCTGAGGAGAGCAAAGGGGATGGGGCAGGATGAGATTCCTACCAGGTTCTTGGCTGGTGACAAGCTCTTCTTCCAGACCCTGCTGTACCTGGCCTGCAGCAGGTACAGGATCAGTGGGGAGTCCCATGGGCCCTTTCCAGGTCTGAAGGTGAGACTGAGCCAGGACTCTGTCCCCCTGCCCCCCACATACTGTGTCTGAATCTATGGCTGTGACCGGGGTAGAAAGAGGAGGGGGTATAATGGCCCACAGTGACTCATTAATGTTTCTGCCTCATCCTTGGGGCCTCTGCTGGCGTGAATGTGGTGCCAAGTGAATTGGCTGGCGCCTCTCCCCTTTCTAGAGACAGCGACAGGGCCCTGGGGTATGGTGGGGGAGTGGCTATGGTGTGGGCTCCTCCAAAGCCCTGGGGCTCTCCAACCAACCTCTAGAAACAGCCTGAGACAACACCTACAAAAATAAATAATTTATTTCCTATCCAAAAGTAAGCCCCGGGTGTTGAGTGGTAAAGGAGAGCTGGAGCCCAGGGTGAGTTTGTGAGAAGTCAGGGCCCTGAGTGAGACCATGTTGGAAAAGGGGAGAACAGGCTTGGCTGAAGTCCGGAGGCAGGGGAGGGACAGGGAATGCTGCTGGGACTGAAGAGACCACCTTCGGTGACGGGCCTGCAGAGAGAGACAAAAATGTTGACAGGCCCATGCCCAGGGGGTAGAAGTAGACACGCTGGGCCCCCAAAGTGCCCCCTGGGACATAGGAGCCTTCAAGCACACTCTAAGGCAAGGACTGCAAACTCAAAATCCCAGAAACCAGACAAACGAGGGAAGGCAGCAGGCTATCAGGAGATGGTCAAGAAACACTGGGGCCATGAAGAGGGGGAGAGCTCAGTCCCATCTAAAGAAGACAGGGGCACCCGAGGCCAGCTGATTATTGCCAGGTGGAATGTTGGCTCAGGATTGCCAGATCTCCCAAAAATTTTTAGAGAGCCGGGGATATCTGGGTTTTTAATGTGTACTCCCCTGATTTTTGATGTTGGTAACTCATTTCTAATTTAAAGAAATGCCGAGAGTCCAGGAATGCATATCTGGGGGTCATGGGTTTGTTTCCCGAGTGGGCTGTGGGATGCTGGGGGCCCCTCTGGCTTGGGCTGATAGTAGGAGGCCTAAGGAGTCTTGGGTTGCTCAAATGCCAGCCGGGAATCTCAAATCTAGCCCTCTAGATTCGAATAGATTACTCTAGAGAGTAATGAGCAACATTACTCTCCAGGTTTCCGGCAGAGGCACAGGGGTGGGGACAGAAGACCTCACACTATCACTATGCTGTCTCTGCATGGAATCTGCTATCCCTCCGGCTCTAGACACCAAGGTCCCGCCTGCTGTTGCCTCACTCTCCCCAGGCTGGATCCGGGGCCCTTCCCAGCTCCCTCCTGCTCCCCCATCTCTACCTGCCTCCAGGTCCTGGGGAGAAGGCAGGACGTCTCATCTGCCCAGCCCAGTGGGCACTGCGTTCGCTCTCATGCCTGTCGGGTTCCACGGCCCCAGGTGGCTCCCCTCCCAGAGAGGATAAGAGGTTTGGAAAAGGAAAGAGGGTCAGAGTGACCAGGCTTTGTGAAAAAGTTCTTAGAATCCAGAGCCAACCAGACCAGCTGGTGGCTGCTGACCCAAGGTTGGCGGCCATGGGCCCAGCCTTTCCCTGATGGCGGTGGCAATGCCCACCCCAGATAGGCCTGGGCCCGGGGCCGGGGTCAGTGGAATGTGTCTGACCTGGGCCGGAAGCTGTGTCTCATAAGACTTGGGGTCCGGAGCGAGGCTTCCGGCATTGGAGAGGGTCCCAGGGGGTCCGGCTCTGAGGGGTAGGGGGACACCACGCAGGGTCTCAGGTTGTGGGGGGCAGCCCTCATTTCTGCTGTCCCCACGGTGGCTGGGCAGTGGACCTCAGCGAGAGTAGTATCCTGGAGGCGAGGCAGTGGTCCCAACAGATGGGGAGAGATGCATGGAGGCCTGGGCTGGAGGCACGGAGGGTCTGAGGGCCATGCCGAGGCTGTTGGGTGGCCGGGGGGGCCCAGCCTGGCCTGCAGCAGGCCCATCATGTGCCGGAGCTCCTGGCTGAGCTGAGACACTTCCTGGTTGAGGCGGGAGATCTGTTGGAGATACAGGAGTCGTTTCCCAGGTGTCACCGCTACCCTCCTGGGTGCGCCACCCTCCCCCCACCCCTGCCCTGCCCCACAGCTTACAAGATCTTTTCATAACCACTCTCTGCTCATGGCCACCCTGAGAGCAAAACAAGGAAGGGGCTACTTGGTCTACGTGTAAATACCCCAGACCTTTCCAAAAAAGGTTAGTGATGGCAGCCATTGCCATCCTCCCCGACACCCCACTTTTACGAGATGCACAAAAAATGTGCTCAAGGAGGATGCGTGGCTTTGAAACCACAGATGTAGCCTCACCGTTGGGTGATCCCACTGCACAATGGCAAGTGTTCACATTTCAGGGAGTACAGAATCAACTGAGAAACATAAAAATGCAGATTTCTGGACCCCAGACATTCCAAATTGGGAGAGACCCAGAAAGCTACATTTTACCAGCGTTGCCAGGTGCCAGAAGATAGGTATGGAGCTGCTGGCCTAGAACTGTGAGCAGCAGCAGCAGCACTGGCCCTCAATCCTGCAGAACTTGGGCTGGGCCCCGCCCCCAGCCCCAGGCCTTGCCCCTCCCCCCAGCTGCTCCCCTGGGGAGCTTGATGTTTATCTGGAGGGAAGGCTGACTCCCAAGGGCTAGGCCTGTGGCGACAACTCTGAGATCCCTGGGGAGGAGGCAGAGTCTCTGCATTCAGAGTCTGGGCTCTTCCTGACCAGGACTCAGACGCTGGGTTCCAGGTGCCCTAAGGCTGAAGGCCTCTCAGTCTCTCCTCTGCCCCCATGTTTGCTTAGCACTCATTTCCCAGGGCTGGGGTGAGGGAAGGGCCTGAGCACTGCGACTTGGTTGGGGGTACTCGGTGCAGGAGAGTGTTGCACGGTGGAGAGGCTCTCGGCGCGGCCCCCTTTCCCAGCTGGACGGCCTAAGCCGGCTGGGAAAAGAGAGGAAGCAGGCACACGCTCTCACTGCATCCTCACAACAACTCTGGAAGGTGGATCGTTTCCCCGGTGTTTAGGTGAGGAAATCGAAGCTCAGACAGGTTGTGGGACTTGCCTAAGATCATCCAGCTAGTGTGAACACTTAAATTCAGGACTCTGACTGCAAATCCTGAAATGCTTTTGTACAAGGCATGCCTCTGATCCCAAAACTATCTTCTCCGGGGTTGGAGGGGAGGAGCCGGCCCCCACCCACCTCCTGGTTCAGCCTGCAGACCTTTTCCTTCACTTCCTCAGCCCCGGTGGCCAGTTCCTGGCTGCGCCCGGTCCCTGCAGACAGACAGACAGACGGGGTGAAGGGATGCAGTGAGTGCAGGGAGCATAAGTCTAGAGCTTGGGCTGGGCTCCTTCCTGTCACGGGGTAGACAGAGGACCAGAGGAGAGGGAGCTCTGGGGTCAGGATGATGGGGAAACCGAACTCTTGGGCTGGTCTTGAGGCCCTATGACTTCCGCAGGCCGCCCACCCCTCTGGTTTCTAGGCACGAATCTTCTTTTTGATATCTGAACGTAACATGCTCTCGTCATGCCTTTTTGCATTTCTTCGCCTGCCTTACTCCACCTCTGAAACTCCTACCCAGGGTTTAAGACCCAACTCAAGAGCCCCCTCTTCTAGGAGGGGCAGCTAAGGGGGGCTCTCCTTTCCTACCTCAGAGCCCTGTTCTGGTCTCAGCTGTGGTATCAGCTCGCTGTTCCTGAATCGTTTCTCTGAGTACACAGGTGTCTGCCCCATT